ACATTCACAGGCACCAGGAGTCAGGGCTTCAATCTATTTTCTTGGGAGGGTGGGCATAATTCAACCCATTCCCTCCAGTTCCCTCTGGTGCCTCCCACTGGTTAAAGCCCTCTAGAAGCCAGAGGGCAAGGGATCCTGGGGCCTGTAGTTCTCATGGGTCAGCCCCCAGGACCCAGAGCAGAGCCCAGAAGGGTCTGGAAGGGCAAACCAGTCACAGGAGAAGGCCTTGCTGCCATCCTTTTCGTAATAATCCTTTGTAGCTGCATTCTTTATCCAGGGGTTCCAAGGATCTCTCAAGCCCTAATGAATCTCCATGACACCCCAGAGCGGTGAGAATTAGATCATCATTTTGCAGATGCGAGGATAAGTAGCAATCTCTCCTTTAAACAGCCCTACTGATTGCCACTTTATTTTTAATTTGATTTTATGCAGAGAGATAGGAACATGTTCTAGGAATTTTGAAAGCTCTGTGTAAGAAAAAAACCCCAAGTTACCACCATGTTTCAAGTGTCAAGGAATATGATTTCATAATGAGTTTTGCAAGGGGTGAAAAATGACAATAATTTGAAACTTTTCAAAATTCCAGGAGAAGTGGTGAGATTTACCACTTCTCAGGAAATTTAATTTCAGACTGAATATATCAGTCCTGAGGGCAAAGAACTTCTTCCTTCGCCTGCCAGAATTGGTGGTTACTGCCTTCTCTGGAGCCCAAAGCATGCCTTTAGAGTTTCTTTGTGTTTTGTTTTTTTAAATTTCAAATAAACAGTAGGAAGAAAGTTCACGACATTAACAGAGCTAGAAATCGGTTGGATCCCACCCCCTTGCCCACCTTGATTTGTCTGACAGCAGCGTCTGATCACTACCTGGACCTCATCAGAGGAAACATCTACCTGCTTGCTGTCTGTCGCTTCCCTGGAGTATACCTGCAGGAGGGCAAACTTTGTCTGCTGCCTGCTGTCCTCGCAGGACCTGCAACAATGAATACCTGCAGAGCTGAGTAAGGCTGAATAAATTCTGCTCTGTGTATATTCTCTTTCTTTCTTTCTTTTTCTTTCTTTCTCTCTCTCTCTCTCATCTCTCTCTCTCTTTCTTTCTTTCTTTCTTTCTTTCTTTTTTTGACAGAATCTCACTCTGTTGCCCAGGCTGGGAATGCAGTGGCACCATCATGGGTCACTGCAGCCTCCAACTCCTGGGCTCAAGCGATCTTCCCACTTCAGCCTCCCCAAGAGCTGGGACTACAGGTGTGTGCCATTGCGCCTGGCTAATTTTGGTATTTTTTGTAGAAACAAGGTCTCACTATGTTGCCCAGGCTGGTCTTGAACTCCTGGACTCAAGAAATCGTCCCAAAGTGCTGGGATTACAGGTGTGAGCCATGCACTTGTCCTTGTCCATTTATTCTTAAAAAGTGACCACCACTCTAGCCGCTGACATACACAATGGATCACATGGAAATCTGTGTCAGGCCTCTGCTCACGTGGCCTCAACTTGGGATGCTGGGATGTGAACACTTTCCTCTGACGCTGAAGAAGGAGCAACCTCTAACGTTTTTGTCAGTCCCAAATGCTCCTTCCTTTAGTTTTGAAAGCTTTTTGTAAGAAAGTGGCCTTGGTCCTCCATTCAGACACCTCTCTCGCCTCGCCCCTTTAAGTCTGACTTTGGCACAGTGGGAGCCAGGGCAGGCAAGAGGGGATTAGGGAGAGGTGTGTGCTGGCAGGAGGGCCGTGGAGCTAAGACTTGGAGCTTTCCTGCCCCCACATGGCAAGAGTCTCATTGCCAAGAAGCCTGGAGGCAGGATGAGCAAAACGGTGGCCTTGGGAATCAATGATCTCCAAATAAAACAGTGCCCAGGCGCCTGCAGTGAGATTCAGGTGGCTTCCGCCTGCAGGGTCTGCTCTGGGGAGAGTTGAGAGAGCTACTCCCTGCTTTTCCCATTGCATTTACTCAGGGGGAGAAAGAGGCTGTAGGCGAATGAGGCTATGGCTGAATCCTCCCATCCATGGCTGTCTCCTTGGATTTAGGAAAGAGCTTCAGAAGGCCTGATTTTAAGGTAAGAACTTCCCAGTGAGGTAGATTTAATCTGTTAATCCCCTATTTCACCTTTCTGAAGTTTGTTTTCTTTAAAACTATCAACAAAGTGAAAAACACACTTAATTTGTTCAAAGATCTAACCAGCTGTCTCACCGGCTGCTAACAGACAACATAGGATTTGTTTTTCATTCATTATTATTTTTTTTAATTTCTCATCTTCTAGTCAAAGCTGCAGTTTTATTAGCTAGTTATTTCCAATAAAAGTTTATTTTTTGCCCGGTTATAAATGTTCTGAAGCTCAATCTAAGCCAAAACTTTTAACATACAGAAAATAGAAGAATAGAAATTCCTTCAAACTGCCCCATCTGTTTTCTAATTTGCCATGTTGCTTTGCATAGCTGAGGTCAAGCTGTACATTCCAGGGGAGGCAAAATGATGCTACTGCGTGTATTAGTCTGTTTTCATGCTGCTGATAAAGGCATATCCGACACTGGGTAATTCATAAAGGAAGAGAGGTAATGGACTCACCATTCCATGTGGCTGGGGAGGCCTCACAACCATGACGGAAGGAAAAAGCACGTCTTACATGGTGACGGGCAAGAGAGAATGAATGCCAAGCGAATGGGGAAAACACTTACAAAAGCTCTAGATCTCCCGAGATTTATTCACGACCTAAAGAACCGTATGGAAAAACCACCCCATGAGTCAATCATCTCCCATCGGGTCCCTTCCACAACATGTGGGAATTATGGGAGCTACAGTTCAAGATGAGATTTGCGTGGGGACACAGCCAAACCATATCACTGCATAAGCACCCAAAAATCCAGTGTTCAGAGCCCAGAACTCTATGCCGGTGCTGCAAAGATGTTTGTTTATCAATGAACTTTGAATAAAGCTTGTTGGAATTCACATACATTTACTTGCAAACAAAAAGATCCTGACAAGAGTACAGACATTAGTAGTCACTTCACTTTACCTTAAAGGCAGTACAAAGACACAGCACCCCCGATAATAGCAATACATCCGTCCAAGGAAGATGTGCTCCCTTGAAAAGGGCCATTATAGTATCTCACATTCTTAAGATGGCTTTTCCTTTTCAAAGTATTTGAATGTCTTATTCTTCTGAAATAGATAAGACTGAAACAGCGCTTGTAGTCCAGAACCGACGTGGGTGTGTGTTCTAGGACACAGGTCTGCAAATTTTCTCTCTAAAGGTCCAGATAGTAAAAATTTTAGAGTGTATGAGCCAAGAGGCAGAACTGAGCATATCAAGTAGCTAGACAGGACCATTTAAAAATGTAGATATTTACAAATATTAAAGCCATTCTTTGCTTGCGTGGTGTAAAAAACGGCCAGCAGATTGGATGTGGCCACAGACTGTTGTTTTATGACCCCTGCTCTAGGGCATAAAAAGTCAAAAGGAATTATTCTCTAGCCTCACAGTGTTTACAGGTCTTTGTGGTAGATGATACCTTCTGGGGTGGACATCTGCTGTTTTGTCTGACCAGCATCTGTTCCCTGTCTTTCAGTGAAAGCCAGATTTTTCCATGATGCATAGGCTCTTAGTCTCAATCCACACCTGCCCCACCTGAGGCTACACCTGCACCACCTGATTTCACACCTGCCCCACCTGAGGCCACACCTGCCCCACCAGATTCCATACCTGCCCCACCTGATTCCACACCTGCCCCACCTGATTCCACACCTGCCCCACCTGATTCCACACCTTCTCCACCTGAGGCCACACCTACCCCACTTGATTTCACATGTGTCTCACCTGCTGCTACACTTCCCTCACCTGATTCCACACCTGCCCCAGGGTGATACATTTCTCAGGACCAGCCAATAAGAGCAACACATTATTTTCATTTCAGTGGTTGGCTTCAGGTTAGGCTCATGACCCAAGCCAATCAGTTCCAATCAGTCTCTGTCCCAGAGGATTTGCTGGAGCGATTGGCAGTGAGGTTTCCACTCATTTCTTGCTGGACATGAGGCTGTGAAGAAGCCAATATGGCATTGCCGGGGCCACCTTGTGACTAACAAAGAGGAAGGAGAGCTGAGGAAGGAAAAGAAGCCAACATCCAGACCACATCATTTGCACTTCCAGTGTGTTCTGCAGACCAGCCACACTAGCATAGCTTAGGAGCTTTGAAAAATAAGTACCCAACCCAGACCTCCTAAGCGAGGATGGGCATCTACTCAAAATGTTCATGTGATCCACATGTACAACAGTGTTTGGGAAACACTTTTCTAGACTTTTAAAGTTATGTGAGCCAAGTTTAAGTTGGGTTGTGTCTGTAGCCTTTATAACCCAAAGAATCCTGAATAATCCATTTCTCATAATCCTGATGAATCCGTTTCTCATGACACCATTCATGCAAGTAGCATGTTTGCGTACGCATTCTCATCAGTGCACACTATTAATAGCAATCGAAGAGTGACCATATTGTGAGTCAGACAGAGGGACTGCACCACTCAAGCCCAATGTCACTCATCTACTCTATATTTCACGCTGACCTTGCAGTCCAGTGAGCCCAGTGAGAGTTCATTGCTGAGTGAGCTCCATCATCCTAAGGAAAGAGGAGATGAAGTGGGGCATCTATCTCAAGCATGGAGTGGGCAGCAGGAAGGAGCCAAGTCTGCAGAAAGATAGCAAAGCTGACTGTCTTTTTAGCTCAGTGGTTTCCAACTCTGGCTGCACAGTGGAATCACCTGGGGAGCGTCTCAAAATAACAGGCGCTCACTTCCACCTGCAGCAATTATTGTGACTTGCTGGACTACACTTTATGACTAAAGTTGAGAAAGGCCAGCCTAATGAAAAGTTGCAACTTCCAGGGCAGGGGAAGAGGAGAAACTTTGAAAGTAAACACTCCATAAAACCATTGTAGCAAACATCCCATGACAGCTAGGAAGGACACAGGATGCGATCAGGTGGCTGAATGTAGGAGCGTCCACGGTAACTCCGGACTCACCATAGCCAAGGGAACGATGCCCACCAGGTCCTTCTGGCTGATGAAGATCTCAGACACTGCGATGTCTGTGGTCCCCTTCCGTGGGTATTCCACCTGCCATGTGATGGGCTGAGTCCCCGAAAGGCTGCTGAAACTGGCTATTTCAAAGTTCATCTGCACAACCTCATTGAACAAACTGCTGCTTCTGGAAGAGAGAAAAGAAAATGGCTTTAAGCCAACTTCATTCAAAGGATCCTTCTCTCCCTTATAATTGTACCCAGAATATAAAGACAAAGAAAGCACCTTTAGGGGATGGCTCTGGGGTTTTGGTGGGGACACCTGGGGCATGGAACCACCTACAAGGTAAGGACTGGCAGCTGGGACAGAGAAGGACCCACAAGTTAGGGATATGGGTCAAGAATCTTCAACCTGAGCAGTAAGCTGTGACCCTTGGAATGGTTATTACCAGCTCTGCAGATGAAACATTAAGCCAGTTTATCTTACACCTGCAGTGTGTACCTGAATGGCCTCTGTTCAGTTCTGTAGATGCGGCAGATGCTTTAGGCTGGGGTCCCCAATCCCTGGGCCATGAACCAGTACCAGTCCATAGCCTGTTAGGAGCAGGGCTGCACAGCAGGAGGTGGGTGGTGAGTCAGTGAGTGAAGCTTTGCCTCTATTCACAGCCACTCCCACAGCTGGCATGACCACCTGAGCATTGCCTCCTCTCACATCAGCCGCAGCATTAGATTCTCACAGGAGCACGAACCGTATCTTGAACTGTGCATGTGAAGGATCTAAGTTGTAAACTCCTTATGAAAATCTAATGCCTGATGATCTGTCGCTGTCTCCCATCACTCCCAGATGGGACTGTCTAGTTGCAGGGAAACAAGCTCAGGGCTCCACTGATTCTACATTATGGTGACTTGTACAATGAGTTCATTATTCAATATTCATTATTTATTCATTATTATTACAACATAATAATAGAAATAAAGTGCCCAATAAATGTAATGTACTTGAATCATCCTGAAACCATGCTTCCCCCACCACCCCAATCTGTGGAAACGTTGTCCTCCACAAAACTGGTCCCTGGTGCCAAAAAGGCTGGGGACCGCTGCTGTGGGCCACTCACTCCACAGCACCTTCACCCCGCTCTGCTTGTCCTCCTCTGCTGTAGGGGCTGAGAGGCCTAAACTACATTCTCAGGCCTCCTTGCTGCTAGATGCAGGATTGAAGCAGAGTTTGCTCCAGTCAGACTCACTCATTTGGGACTTAAGAGGGAGAAGTGGGTTCTGGAGAAGCAATCAGGAAGGGAATTGGGGTTTTCTGGTGAGCACAGTGGCCCTGGTTCTCCTGGGGCAGCTGTGGGGTGCCCCTGGCATCCAGGCCTTCCCATCATCACGCTAAGGGGTGACAGTGGTACTTCCACCACCACAGTCTTCTGCAGGGGTTGGATCTTTTCTGTCTGTGTTATCCCTGGCTGCCCTGTCCCTGGCTGTGTAGTAAATACATTCAGTTCAGTGGTTCTCCTAGAGATTATTCAAATTACCTAGTATCCTTTAATGGCACCTCTTCTGCTTAGAGGGACTACTTAGCTAAACGGACTCTTTGTCTGCGACTAAGAATTCTGACCAATTCCATGCATTTGACATATATGTATTTTGGGAACTACTGGTGGTCCAAACTTTTTCATTTTTTAGATTAAATGTAAATTAAAGCCAAAAAAGGAAAAAAGGTTTGCCCACAGTCACATAGCTGGGTAGTGCGGTCAACATAAAATGTAGCATCTCCCGTCTCCCAGTGCAGTGCTCCTTACGGACCCTCACCTAAGACAGCTGGTGGTCAAACACGACATCACAAGGCTCCAACAGTTTATTTTTTGTTTGTTTATTCATCTTTTTTTTTTCCCCCTTAGGGAAGGAGACAGCAAGCTGTGTCCTGTGAACCAGATGCTTGAGCCACCTTTCACTGCCGTACAGCCCGGCCTGTTCATTTACGTTTCCTATGGCTGCTTTCATGTTACCAGAACACGGTTGAGTAATTGCATCAGTCAATGTAGAGCCTGCAAAGCCTGAAATATTTCTCATCCAGATCTTTACAGAAAACGTTTGCCAGTATTGGCTACAGAAGGTCAGAGGAGGGGAAGCTGGCCGGGCTTTCCAGAGCTGTTGAGTCAATAGAACTGCTATTGGTGGAAACAAGAAGGCAGGGCATGCCAGGCACCAAGCTGGGTTTGTAGGGGCCAGGGTTCTGTTGAGCCTTAGCATCCAGCCCGAGGTGGCTCCAGTGCCCTCTGCTGATAGCTAAGGATGGCAATAAGTGGTGGGTCAATGGTCAGCAAGACCTCAGGCTGTCATCCTGGAAGGTTACATGTTTGCAGGTGAATGAAAGGAGATTTTTCCATGGCACATCAAGAAAGAAATGCCAAATATGCTTAAAAACTGCTTCTCAAGCATGTGCCAAAAAAAAGAGTAGCAGTGAAATGCTTCCTTTTGCTGGGGCATTAATATTGGGTACACCATTCAATCTTCAGGGCTTGATTGACAGCCAGAATAATGCTAACTCTCCACCACATCACCCTCAGTCCCGCTCAGTGGCTGGGGAAGGACATAACGGGAAGGTTACCGCATCAAACAAAAACACTGGGACTCGTGAATCTCCCTTAAGTCCACAGGGCCAGTAGTAGGGCCCAGATAATCATGATTTATGAGATGCTAGAGATTCCTCTGGGAAAGAAACGAAATCCAAGGTCTTGACTATCAAGCCAGGGGCTGCAAATCTCAAGCATGAATTGGTCTTTAAAAATGAGGGAGGGGTGTCCTGGGTCTAGAGTGTTTCCAAACTAAGAGATGTGTTCTTGGTCTAGCAGCTGAGGCCCAGAGGGGTCTGGGCCTGCACAACTCAACATCCAGGAGATGCTCTCTCACTGCCGACCTGCAGACAGCCTTGCATTCCAGGGAGTTTAATCTTGCCTTCTTAGCAAGCACACCTGGACCTGACTCTCCTTATCTGCCACCTGGCCACCAGTACTGGCGCTGTCCAGGAGCTGCATGGCTACTTGAGTAACTCTACTCAGCAAATCATTACTTCCCTTAGTACTGGACGTGGCAACCATGCAACGGTCCAAAGACCCCCTTTCAGTCCCAAAGGGATGCCTATGCTGGCACAGCACCACCGAGGCTGCAGTGAGCTTTCAGCCTGCACCTCTCTTCACCCCCTTACAAAGCTCTGTGAGCATTGCAACCACTCACATCATCTCTCCGAGACTCGGTGGCACCATCTAGAAGACTGAAATAATGGCATTCCCATTGTACAGGGAGGAACGAGGCATGAAAAAGCAGCCAGCACAAGTTCTCCTGCTCCAGCGGCACCCTCCTCCGCTGCGATTATGCTAACAAAGGGCATTAAGAAAGGCACAGTCAAGGACAAGAGAAAAGAGAAGCGGTACTTTTCCTTTTGGCCTGAAAGACATTGTTATGTGATTTTTGTGAGCAGTGAGGTGACCTCCCTAAAGCGTTTTGTTATAGCTGGCACAAGAATAAAAATAACATGTGACTGTTGACAATATACTCCCCCTGTGCTAGGCACTGGACCAGGTTCCAAGCATACTTTAGTCCAAATCCAAATCCAAACCCTGGGGTGGTGACTGAGGTTCTCATTTTGCGTCAGTTCCCAGCACAGACACTCTTGAACCTCTGTAGCCAGAAAGAGCTTCAGCCTGTTCTTCAACCACAGATAGAAGGGAGCCACTCAGCAGGTCCCGTCTGAAACATTCTGCAGCTCCCCAGTCTGATGCCCACCACCTGCGAGCCAACTAAACCTAATCTTAGTTTCAGAATGGAAAAAAAAAATACAAATTTCACAAGTGGATGAAAGCTCCAGCTTTCTGGCAGCTGCACAGAATTCTGGGTCAGGGTGACATCAGGGCAAGCTCCCTGGCGCACTGGGGGCAGGGGTCTGGCTTGAACACTGACATCAGTCTTTCAGGAAGTTGGAGATCTCAGACAGAAAGAAGAGATAATTCTGTGTCCACAGGGACCCTGGGAATGTGTGTGATAGACCAAAGGTCAGACCAGACTGACCCAACAGAGAAATGAGCTCCTGGGAGGCCTCAGGATTAAACATTCTGACACAAGACAAGGAATTCTTCTGGGAAGATACAGAGCCAATGCCCTTGTTTCTTTATTTTTGTGCATCCATATTCTTTCCTACCCCTTCTCCATCCCCACACAGCCTTGTCTTCTTTGTCTCTAAAAAACGCATAGTATGATATATCTAAGTTAAAGAAAATGCAACCCTATTTCGAAATTTGACCCTTTTGTGGAGATGCGTGACTGGCAATTTGGTGTTGCTGGCTCTGCTCTGAGCATTTTAAGGGAGCGTCTCCACTCTGTCCTTGCTGACTTATGGGATGACTGCTGGATAGCAGAAGATTTTCCTACAGAAGTTGGGAATCTAGGCTTTTTTCTCTAAAATCCCTGGATTTTAAATTATAAGAACCTTCGCTTTTTAACCATGGTGTAGCTGAGACAATATCTCTGCTGACTCAGTTTCCTGCCTGTGACTTAGAAGAAGGTTTCAATCCAGCATCTCCATATTTTGGCAAAAGCATTTTATAGAAATGCTGTGACCTGAGGTGGAAGATGTCTTCTAAAAAACGATGCATGTGGTGATTCACGAACTGCGGTGCCAAGGACTCCTGGTGCTCCAGGGGTGAGGCAGCAGTGGCCTTGGGGCTAGGGCCAGTCCCTAACCCTGCTCCAGCCCCGACAGACTCCTGTTGCAATGAAAGCACCTCCAAACTGATGTGTTATCTATATTAGGTCTCCAACAAGCATTTCACTGAAATAACGAAAGAGAAAAGAAGAAATGAAGCAAGAAATGAATTGAGGAAGAGAGAAGAGAAGGAAGGAAGAAAGTGAGAGAGGGAAGGAGAGAGGAGGAAAGTTAGTACCTAGATGAAAAGCCATGGCTCCTTAAGCGTTGTACATGTGCGTCGGGATTCATGCTGCAGGTGTCAAACAGACCTCCTGGCTTCCCCAGCTACTGGCTGAACAATGGGACAACTCTGCCTCATTTTCTCTGTTTGCAAAATGAGGACGTTAATCCCTCCCATTTCCGGGTTGATATGAATGAACAAGTCAAAGTACGTAGAACAAACCTTGGTGCCAGCAAGCATCAGTACATTCTGTCCATTTCTTGTTT